CACGCCACTTCTTTCTCCGGTAGCCTTCCTGCTCCCACTTACTGTCAGACCCTGCTCAGTCACTGTTCTCTCCCCAAGCACAATGTAGCAGTGACCTGCACAGGACAGTAAGTGGGGGAAAGGGACAGAGGAAAGGGTAGAAGCTACAGTGGATAAGCAGAGGGGAGCAGGAAATGACTGTTGGTCTGACTCTGGCCCCAGCCCAGACTCAAGGCCAGAGACAGAACTACAGCAGCTGCCTGCTCCTCCTTCCCCCCTTGTTAATTTGAAATATAGGAGACTAAAGAACACTGACTTTTAAATAAACATATCCATTAAGATTTGTATATATGCAAATTACTGGGTATGTATAAACTTGTTCAAAATTGATGCGTTATAATTTGTTGAAAATTGCTGCAAGTATCAGCAAAGTAATCCATAAACACACTTCTGAGCACTTTTGTACCCACTTATACATAGTACAAACTGTGCATCATATTACTCCACAGCCACAGTGATCCCACAGTTCAGCACTGCTCAGTACATGCATGTATTCTAGATACTACCCCACAAAGGATCCATGTGCTAATTATCCCCCACTCACAACTGATACCAGATGTTCTTGTCACAAGTCTTGGGACCCTCCAGAACTGTATATGCAGATAAGGTGCAAGGCTCCCTGGTCTGCTTCCAACCCATAGAGGGCAAGACCACACTAATTACCTGGGATCTGGGTTTTCCGTTTCCCACGGAAAAACAGGAAAAAACATGGATTTTTCATTTTAATGAAAGAAACATGTGGATTTTGTACTTTTCCAAAGAGCTCTCTGCAGGCTGACAGAGTTCCAGCCTGCACGAGCCTGGGGGGAGCAGGAGGAGGGTGGTTAGGCAGGGGGTGCCATATGCATATATATATGCACATGGCCACCAGACAGTCAGGAGAGCAGCTCCCTCAAGTAAGTACAGTGGGGGCAGGGATTAAAGCCCCCATAGGGAGGGAGGGAGGGAGGCAGGGACTTGGGCAGGGTTGGGGCTGGGGCTGCTGCCCAGCTGGGGACTGTATTGGGTTTGGGGCCCAAGGCCAGAATGCTCAGGTAGAGGACCTCAGTGGGGAGTGGGATGGGACCATGGGCGGCTTGTCCAGGTGTCCCCACCACTGTGCATACTCCCAGGGGGCAGGGAGGACCTATGCCCCCCCAGACTTGTGTGCAGGGTAGGGGCAGGTCAGCTACAGCTTGCCCACTGCAGGCTCAAGCTGCCTGCCGTACTGCCTTTCCCAGGGCCTCCACAACCCAGTGGGTGTGCCTCCCGGTGCTGCAGGGTGGAGCGGAGCAGTGTAGGGAAGCTCCTTGCCAGTGTGAGATCCATACTGCCCTGATGAGGCATCTCCTGTCACATGGCTGTAGCAGAGGAGCCAAGCCTGCACCACTGACCCCACTGGTGCCACGTGGACAGGGGACACCTCACCAGGGCAGCATGGAGCTCACAGGCAGCAGGCAGCATGGTGGTGGGGATCTGGGTTTTGCACTCTGCTCCACTGCAGCAGCTGCTGCCTCCCACGGGCAGCAGCTGGGGCTTGGCACTATGGGGTGAGGTGGCTGCAGACCCAGGTCCCTGGCCCTGTAGTCCCGCCAGCAGGGATGAGGGGTTGTGGCTTGAAAGTGAGGGTCCAGGACGTGCATTCTGTTAGCTAGGGGGGCAGGGGGCATCATTTTTTCCATGATGAAAAAACCCAAGATCAAACACCAAAATTTATAGATATTTAGAATTTATTTTATTATGGTGATTGAGGAACTGGTATTCTTCCAAATGGCTTTAAAATTGTAAATATATCAAGAAAACATTGTGTTAAACTGATACAGAGATATATATGTATATATATAGCTATAGTAGCCTTTCATTTTAATCACTGATTTTGGGGCTTTAATCAGAGAGTTTGCCATTTTTATCAGAGAATTTGTGATTGTTTTTATCATGGAAAACCAGGATCCCCCCTAATCACATGCGACAGACTGAGAGAGGAAGCGATAGAGCCCCTTAGTTACACAGAAGTTTGATGATTTTACCAGACGTGTATGGCTTGTGAAGAAACAGAAATCATTGAAAATGAGAAAGAACAGCCCAATTCAGCTGTGAGAGGGAAGGGGAAGTCAAAATGTATTTGATGTAGTCACTCATCATGACTTGAAACAGAACTGGGGCTGAGGGGGACAGAGCACAATGGCCATTATTCAGATGGGTTGTACTAGCCTAGGCTTGTGGTAGCTTCCCATCTTAGCCTTTTGGCTAAGAATAAACATTTTTGGCATCAAAGAGTGGGGAGAGGTGTTAAGGCTGGCTCTTTCGCACACAAAGAAGTTCCCATCAGCATTTTTGGCACTAGGGAAGGAGGTTGGAGATTGCTTCAACCCCTCTGAATGCTGGCCTTCTATTGCAGTACCTCCAGGCCTGGTGCTCGTTCTCTCCTGGGGGAACAATGGCCCATTTGTTCAAGGGCCCCATTCCCTCCACACAAACACACATGTACACAAAAGGTTCCCATCAGTGTATTTGCCTAATATGAACCAGGTATTTTATGGGCATACTCAGGCACATTCAATCAGCTTCATAGTTGGGTTCCATGACTGAGCACATGGTGCTTCTAGCAGCAGTTTAATGATAGCTAATGTATTTAATGGGAGAGGAGGGGTATTGGATCATATGCAATATAAGAATGAGGGGCTTTTCCCCCCAGTGCTGATTGAAGGAAAAAACCTTGGGTAGAGACAGAAGTGCAGCTCCCAGCTGCAACTCAGAAGAATTTCTGCAAAGTGTTCTGAATTACATTACCCCAGACCAAACAGAAGTTCACTGCTGGTTCCAGGGGGAGGGGAGTCTAGGTGCTGGCTAGGAGGTTCCCATAGCAACAGCCAAGCTCTCTGCCAGTGCTCCCCACTTCAGAATGGGAGGGGGAAGGCAGCAGAGGGAGCTCATTCTTGGAACTCCCCATCCATTGCTGAAGGATGGGAAGGGTGAATTGGAGCCCCCCCACACACACCTCAGAGGGGCTCCAATACACCTGCCCCATCCTCCAAGGGGATTGAAAAAACCCCAGCCTGAACTCCCTCTGCTCCCTTGCCCTATATCCCATTCTGAAAACAGTGACAGGTTGGAAGCTCCACAGACACAAGTTACAAAAGACATTACATTTTGAAATGTCCTCATCTGATACGACATGCAATAAGGGATCAGATTTTCACCAGACTGACTATTTTATTCTGTCTGCAGCCATACACATGTGTTTGGTCACAGCTATAAACTGCTTTCTGTAGCCAGATTGGATGAAAATTGTCACTTCTGTCTTCACCCTTCGTCTTACATTCCAATAAATATGGTGTTATCCATTTCTTATATTATCCTCTGACATTTGAAGGAAGTGACACATGCCAAAATGTCAGGAAATGTATCTAAGTGCATTTTAAATAGAAAAAATAATACTACATTAAAAGATAGGGGTTACTTTCTAAATATTTTTCTGCATCAGTTCAAAGAGATCCAATTAGGTTCCCTCTGCCTGTTACAGGTATAGCACGATTACCCTAAGACCAACTACACATGCAAGGTACCTATCGTACTATAAAAAGTTCCAACCAGCTATAAAGTTAGACCTCAAAAATGTGTACTAACTTCATGGCTAATTGCTTCTGAGCTTTAATTTGCACGTGTAGCAGGGTCTCCCCAGTCTCGGGGTGTACCATGCTTAGCTGGGGCTGGAAGTCCTGCAACTAAGGGCACTCTCAGCCCCAGCAGCTGTTAACTCCGGGTTCTGGCAGCACCCCACAGCTGCTGGGATGCAGGTTCCAGCAGCTTTAGACACTGGATACCGCAAGTGCGACTCACAGTGCCAGAAGCTGCAGGGTACAGCTGTGATATCCCAGCCCCAAGGGTACACGCAGCCCCCAGGGCTGGGAGATGAGAGCTGCTGCAGTTTTCCAGCCTCAGGGGCTCTCCAGCAGTTGT